ACCCTGAAGGAACGGTGGGTAGCTGAGCGAGAAGCCTAGAAAGTTTAGCTCGCTCACTTGCCAGCCTCTCACCCAGACTTGCCGCCAACTCCCTCTCTTCGTCGGTCATGTTGTCCTTCCGCCACTCCTCGCAGCGCTTCTCGAGTTCTTCGGCCGCTCGCTGGTTGAGTGGGATCCAGATGATGAGACAGATGGCGTGCAAGCGTGAGCCGTTATCAGTAGTCATGACGAAGCCGTGCCAGGTGGATCGCGGCCTTTGGTCCGACGAGACTATATTAATGTCGTTCGGAAAAGCAAACATGGGTACATAGTCCGGGAAATTTCCTCGCAGCTTCAGTTCGTCGGACATGCCCTTTGTCGGATACCGGTCGAGCAGGACGGGCTCGAACCTCCGCTTTAGGGGGTGCATGGTGGGGGAGATTTCGAGCGGTTGCGGGACAGGTATCACGGAGTTGTAGTTACTCAGACGTCGCGAGGTACGGATAGAGGCTGTAATTGTCCGCCGTTAGCCATCTATATTCTATACTCCCTATTGTCGGCCTCCCCCTTCATTTACCTCACCAGGATCTCTACTCACCTTGACGAGCAATCGACGGTTGCCTCTTCATACTGTTCATATCGCGGAATGCCATGTGTCGCCGCACACTACCTATGCTAGACCGGAGCAGGCCCGCAGGCTGTGGGGTCTCCTCGGAGACGATCTTCTGGGTGCGTAATCTGGATCTGGGACGAGTCGAGGGGGTGATTGCGCCCGCGCTGACATTGAGATCCGACAGAAACGACTCCCTCTCCGACGCAAACTTGAACAGCGCTTTGTCAAAGTCGAAGTCTTCGAGAAAGGAGGAGCCCCGGGGAGAAGGGGCACCCTTGATTGTCATGCTGCTGCGGTTGCTGTGGGTGCCATTCTCGTTGGGTTCGGGATCGACCGAGCGCATGGAGAAGCGCTGGAAGGAGGTACGGTTTCCCGCCATGGAGATGGGACGGGAGAGACTGTCCAGATGGGAATCCTCCTCGGCATCGGCATCTTCCTCGATGGTATCTGTGACGGCGGGGCCCGGCGAGGTGGCATTGTTGGCACGGTACTCATCCCCTAATTTGCGATAGGTTTCCAAGACCTCTGTTCCATCGACACCAGCAATCCAGAAGTAGTCGGCGAGCGGGGTAGTGGACGCTTCGGGCGGGGAAGAGGAGGAAGAGGAGGAAAAAGGCATCTCGTCGAATCGTCGCTGAGAGATCGCAGGGTTGTACTCATCAATCGTCACAATTCGTCGTGGTCGTCACAGCATGGAGTAAATGCAATTCCTAGATGTTCTGAAGTTCCCAGGAACATCAACAGTGAGGGGGGAGGGGGAGAGAATTTTCAGAAATTAGGGGGGGGGGGGGTTGTGTTGCAGAATCACGGGCGGGTGGTGAAGACAGTAGTAGTAGTAGTAGTAGTATTAGCAACTAGAACGCATAAGTCTAGAAATGCGACGCTGTCGCGAACGCGAACGGGGAGGATGGCTGGGGCTCTCAAGCGTCGGTGCAGATGCAAAGAGGGGAATAGAAGGACGAATTGCAGAAAGGCAGATGCTGAAGAGAGGAGACGATCTGAAAGGTTGATCTACGCATTGACAAGAAAAAAAGGAGTGTCGGTTAGTGGAGGAGGGAGGGAGGGAGGGAGGGAGGGAGAGCCAGCGAGAGCGAGAGCGAGAGAGAGAGAGCGGAAGAGAGACAGGTGAGGGGGCCAAGAGGGAAAGGGAAAAGAGAGACAAACTGGAAAAAGGAGGAATGCTTTGACAGGTGTCTCTTTGTGTAGGAATGGGAAGAAAGTTAAGTTATGGTTTCTTAATTTTTTAAAAAAAGACTCCTAACCTTCTTTATTTCTTTTTTTCTACTTTTGAATAATAATATTATTTTTTATTCTTCTAATTCTTGCTTGACTTCAATGGTCATGAATTTCTTCTGCCTTAGATTTTTATAATATAATTTTTTATTTTTCGAACTAGACTCACCATGCAGACGGATGGTTGCGTAGACACTGGGAAGGGGGGGAAAGCGAAACGGCTGCCAAAAGTCCCAATCCAGCCCCGGCACCCCCCGTGTGTTCCCCCCCTCCTCCCTCCTACTTCCTCCTTCCCCTTCACGGTTGATTTGCTACTAGTAGTAGACTGTCCGACTGCTACTACTACACACTGTCTGTCTACACCTTCCCCTGCGCTCTCCTGCGCACACGCACTACTACAACCACATCCGCCACTTCCTTCAATCTTCCATTTCTGAATTATTTAGTGGAGTCTTCTCCTACAGGTCGATCCGAGATTCCACATCTATTAAATTCAGGAAAAGAAAAGAAACTTAAAAAAGAAAGTCTACCAAATGGTTGGAATATCAACTACATGTGGATCATGTCAAACAAAGAAGATGGTCGGAAAGGGGAGAGGCGATAGAAGCAGGCAGAGCAAAAGCAATGTGCAGCTAGAGAAAAGAAAATAACAAATAAACGTGCAGCTCTGCCCAGATTGGAACCGGAATACAACGAGTCGGTGGAACATCTTCCTGCTGCTACTTCGGAGTACTACTGCCGCTCACCTACTCTAGTAGGCAGACGCAGTTCCCAGGTACCAACAACCTTTTTCACTCCCCCCTAAGTCCCGGGCGCGACCATGAACTACTGCAAGTGTGCATGGTTGGGTGCGTCCCGCCAACCACCATCCGCAGCCGCGCAGCAACTCCCGCATCAGCTGTGTTACGAGGATCCGCTTGCTTGCTTGGTCCGGGCAGAAAAAAAAGGAAAGCAAGGTAGCTGATAGGACGGGCTAATACTTGGTGCAGCTGCCGCTGCTTCCTCCTACCAAGGACTACTGTGATACTCGGTATAACTGCTGAGAGGTATGCACATAACTCACTGAGTACAGCTAGGCATCCGGAGCACAGAGGAACTTACATCCTCATCTGTGAGGGACAGGTACGGCAGCATATCAATCGCTGGGCCCTCAGTGGATCCCGTCGCGCACAAATGGCTTGGCTCACCGGCAACTCTTTGCTCCTGAATGGTCCTCGTTGGATCGCTGCAAGAGAACTACCGTTCGGAATAACCATGGAAAACACAGACCATTACGTCTTTTCTTATCGTTACGGCCGCCGAGGGTTGAAGTTTGGGGCTGAGAAAGAGGCCATGTGGAGCACTTCGAAGAAAATGCGGGATTTCGAGGCCACTATGGTAATTATTGTTATTATTATTATACATCCGTTGGACACACAGTTATCGCTCCTCTCATTGTTTGTGTCTGACCGACAGGCTCGACCGTGCAGTGAATCGAAGGCTAATTCCATACGCACACGCACACAGCCAGCCTCCTGCTAAGCTGTGCCTGGGGCGAAGGAAGTACGGAGACTAAAGGTAGCAACATCGGAGTTCCTAAATAGGTAGGTAAGTGCCAACCAGAGTTCGGAGATCGCCATGACAAACGATGATTGGAGGACCAGCAACGCAGCCTTGAATCCCATGGATTCAGAACTGTTAGAGCTGAAACTGGAGGGCGGTTTCTGAAAGGGGGAAAAGGGTGCGGTTATCTCTGGACCAAGACAGCCGAGGTTCTCACTTCCGCATTGTGGGATTAATTGCAAAGGACCGAAGCGCATACCAAACCAATTTCTTTTAACAAGATAACTCACTGATTTTGTGGGTACAAAAATTTCAGCACGATTCTGGATGCATATTTTTCATATTTACCTCAGACAAAAAGAAAGGAGGTGGATCCTCTGGATTCTCGCACCCGACCACCCGAGAACTCCAAGTCGAAATGGCCCGGGGTTGCGTTGATGATCGATGTGGAGCCGAAGCAATGACGATAATCCGGTGCCAAAATCTATTTCGCCGGTCGACACCCGAGACGAGACCAGATATTAATTTTGAGCAGATAAATGATGAATTTCAATCAAATATTATTACGATGAACACTATCCTTATATTGTCGAGACATGGATTCGTTCTCAAACTCACGCACCATACCCAATGGGGTAATATCACACCGTCACAGAATAGGTAAGACACCGGCATAGATTGATGAACCAGTTTCACCATTTTAAATTTAATCCAACCAGTGCCCCTTAACTCCGGCTTCATAGGGCTCAGCGTAAGAAGAAAACCTCATGCATATTACCAAATCAAATCCCGTATACTACTATCTATATAGGGAAAACAAGCCACCACTCACTCACTCATCTCAGGCCGCCACCAAACACTAAGGTATGTACCCACCACCACCACCACCAAAGGCAAAAAGAAATTTCATAAATCCAGTGGCTAGTACAGTAGGTAGACCAAACCCTGCAGCAATCAATGTGTAGGTTTTCATCATACATGCATACAATCTAAACCACAAATGGACAACAGCAATTTCAGCCTTCCCAGCCCAGCCCATCTTTACTTCTTAAGAAAGAAAGACGGGAAGAAAAGATAAAGAAAAGAAAAGAAAAAGAAACCAAAGAGAAAGTTCCAATAATGGTTCCTTGCATAGCCCTACTTCCCCGGACTTGCTTACCCGCATGATTGATGCAGTAGACCAACCAAGCATTTTACAGTAGTCAGTTAGTTGGTTGGTTGCTACAGATTTTTCTCTATTTTCACTTGATTTTTCAAGCCCTACGCAGCCTGCCTTGTGAACTCAAAAGAGAAAGAAAAGACAAGAAACCCGGTGATGTTCCGACCGATCTACTTACTGTTATCTACACTGACTACGACGCTACGGAGTATTCATTACGGCTTGGGGGATCTCTTTTCGCCATTTGATGTTAACAGTTTCCCTAGATTATTCTACTCTCTTCTACGGGGCATAGATATCTCCATAAATACCAGTTACCTACTAAACCCACCCTATTCATTATCAATACTATACTATCCAGTATCGTCCCGCAGTGGATGGACATTTGACACCTCTGACAGGGACGGAGAGAAATAGAGAAGAGAGAGGGGCGGTGACTAAACCAATTCGAACATATAGTTACATAATAATTCCTACGTAGTAAAATTAGAGGATAACTTAACAAATCTAAACTTTTATCTAGCTGTTTTGCAGATAGAGTATAGATATTTATTAGTCAGTAGATAAGTACTTGGAAGTTGAAAGGGGGTCGGTCGGTCGGTCGGTCAGTTGGTGATGAGAGGTTGGCTGGGACGGAAGAACAGCGCCCGCAGCACCACACACACACACACACACACACACACACACACACACACCGTATAGTATACAGCAGGTATAGCCAGCCCAGCCCAGCCCAGCGTGTAAGGCAGAGCAGTTGCATGTTCTGGACCTTGATCAGCCCACTGACTGACTGACTATCATCCAGTGTACGGGTATGGATAAATTATCCGTGTTATCCCTTTTTATAGAAATGATGTCTTTGATTTTTCTAGACATACCATACCATATTAACTGTCGGGCGGGAGGGAGAGAGAGAAGAACGCCAGCGAGTCAAGTTAAGACATACTAACTAAGTACTAATTATATCCTCCCCAGAATTGAATGCCATTGTCAGGGATTCTCTTTCTCTTTCTTCCTTCCGTTCATTTAGCATCCATGCAAGGCCAAGAAAAAATCCCAAAGTAAAACCCAACTCAACTCAACTCTAGCCTAGTCTAGTCTCTCGTTTTCTGTCTACGGGCTAGAACATCCGAATGCCGAATAAACCATCCGCAACCTGCCACTCAGTAGTAAAACAGCCTGGTTCTACTTTATTCTATGGAGTACGTACGTATTCTATTTATTCTCTAGGAGTGGACACATGACAACAACTTGGTTTTTTTTTTTTTTTTTTTGTTGCTGAGTTTGAGGTAAATTTAGGTTTGACCTAGGCCTATCTAGACCCGAGTACTAGACTTTCCCTTTCCCTTTACCCTTCCCCCCCCCCGACCGGTGGTCCGTGGGGACGGTTGGATGGATGGTCTCGACCGCTCCCGGGGAGAATTATCATGTTATCTTTAGGTTTCAGGGTTAGTTAGGTAGTCCGTAGATTTGGACTATTTGCTGAGGTACAGGAGGGGGGTTGGTTGGTTGGATAGTAGTTGGCTGATTGACGATCAACTACCTAGTAGATACTGTTACTTATGGTGCTGACTGTGTTGCACAAATAGCACATGACTGGTCAGTTGTGGTGGCTCATCTATAACTAATCAAGGAATATAGAATTTCAACGACTCCTTCCTTATGGGGAACAAAATCTATCTAAAGATAGAATGGAATACGGCCAAGCTTCCGTCGGCGTTAACGGGGGGCGCCGTCGGAAGGTACCTTTTTTTTTGTTTCTTCTGTACACCCCTAGACTAGTACTAGACTCCCAGATAAGCTCCCGAACATATGATGTTAGTCTCGTCGTTTTTCTTTGTCCCCGTTGAACGTGTGTAACCACCACGCAAAGTGTCGCAAGCTAGGGGATTGGGATTGGCTGCCCTGAGAAGGTTCGCATCCGTGCAACATCCGCTTGGCTCCCGTCTCATCCATTCATCTTGTGTGCTGATGCATGCCTCCGTGGAGTCGGTGATTGGTTGAGGAAAATCACCGGTGAGCTTGTGAGTCTTCAGACTGCCACACACGGAGCTGGAGGGTTCTTCGGGATCTGCGCTGGCATCGTTGGCTGCAGTGTCTGGAATGTGTGTCTGTTGTTGTTACACAAGGGGGTCAAAGGCCAAGAAAAAGCCCGCTGCAGTTCAGGTACACAGCAGAGAGACCGTAAGCAGGAAATATTACGTCCGATTGGTCTGTCTCATGCCCGTCTTCGCGTCATCAAATTACCCGTCGTTAGGAATCCTTTGTCGCCCATTGCGCCTCTCCACTCAATCGAAAGCTGGCCCAGCACGGCGCGTCCGTCGCGTTTCATGTCCTTCTGCAGGGTCTCCAGCCCTTCCTGTTGGCCTTCTTCTTGCTCGACGAGGAATGCAACCTGCAAGACATCCCGCGGATGTAGAGTCGGTGGCCGCGGATCCGCTTGATCCGGTCCTTGTAGATCCCAATTGAGAGATACGGCCTTGAATGGCGGTTTCGGATTGAGCCTCGTTTGCTGTCTAAATTAGCATGTCGCCCAGGAGACGTCTCACTTTATGTATGATTTGTGTTCGACGAACCTTGACCACCACAGGACCATCGCCTACGTTCTCTAGTTGCGCTTCCAGAGCAAACCGGAGCAGCCGGGTCTTGCCATATGGTCCGAGTGACTTGTTCTCGACTTCCAGGGGCGCCAGCTCTGATGATTTGGTTCGAACGCTCAAACAGGGCTGCGCCACGAACTGATAAAGCTTGCGGAAGGTTCTCACACGCCCGCTGGCTGCTTGCGCGTCCGACCCAATCAATGTCTCCGTGTAGCTGACGCTAACCGCCAGGATGTGATTCCCTTCCTCCTTGAGATCAAACCGTACTATTTTTTGTAGTGAATGGCCCTTCTGCACCCCGTCCTTCGAAGCCGTGTCTTCGGCCGGTTCTAGGTCTAATGCCGCTACCTGCGATGGTGTTTGCATCTCTGCCACTATACGAACCGATGTGACGACGCGCGACGTCTCCTCATCTGGCAACTCATTATTGGCGCTGAGAGTGCATGCAAACGTCTCACCCACATACGCAGATCCAAACGCCGGAGGTAGGGTTAACTTGTCGAACAGTCAGTGAGGTTATGACTAAACTTGGACGGTCTTCGTACATTGGGGGTGAGGATGAACTGATCGTCGACATTATCGGCGGGATAGCTGAGTGATGCTTTGCTTGAGATCTTTATGTCTGCCGCCGGGAGGGGGTACTGATAGGATAAGGAGGGTCGCGATAGTCTTGCACGGTCAGGAACGAGCGGAGCCATCGGGTCAAGTTCGGTGCTTACCGCAATACTGGACAAGATCAGCCAAGGTACCATGATAAAAGGGTGTCTCGGCAAAGCGTACCTTTGAGAGAGACTGCATGTGGCTCTTTAGGGGCATCAGCGCCCGAGTGAGCGCGAGGGCGTGCCATGGAGGGATGTGATTGCGAGTTGAACCAGAGCCGGACGCGGCGTCATTCCGTCGTTATCAGCGCCGCACTAGCTTCAAGCAAACAAGCCAAATGAGGCAAACCGAGCAAACCTCCGCATTGGCCGGGATACGCGAACTATTGGATCATCCCTGTTCAAACTTGACTCGATAGCTCCGATTTCTTACTCTCATCAGACAAATGGAGACATCCGAACCAGCCTTGGGATCGTCAATGTGACATCTACAGTAGATCTTGATGCTAGGCAGGTCATTGATCACGGTTCCTCCCAGATCTGTCATTCCTTTGGGGATTAGCCTGATTATGTCATGATCCGATCTGATTGCTTATCGATTAGGGGTCGTTTACTCCATACTACGGAAGCCGCCACTGCGACTATTCTTGTCTTGCTACGCCTCCTTTCTCCCTTTGTCAAGCTCCTGGCCTAGAATAGCTTCTGGGTTCGGAATGGGAGTGACACGTACAACTCCTTCTCGCCAGCAGCATGCGAGCGCCTCCACGCCTACGGACGCTCGAGCTACACGCTCAAGAGCTGTGGCAAGCACCCCCGCGTCGTCCAGGAAGCGAAAAGCGACTGAACAGAGTGTCACACCAAGTACGTCATCAAAGAAGTCGCGTCGATCTGCTCCAAGTCGTCCTACTCAAGATCCCGTTGAGGTGATCGATCTGACTGGTGACACCCCTAGCCCTGCTAGAAGAAGAGCTCGAGCACCAGCATCATATGACGAGCCAGCTCCTGAACGCCGAGCGAGAAGATTCCGCACCCATCCTCCCAGCACATATCTTGATAGAGCCGCGCGTGCACTATCCCAGCGGTATGCCGTACTTCATGTTTGGACCCTATAGCAAGCTAACTTGTTTCGTACAGCATGTTCGTTGTCGGACATACTGTCACGGAAGTCGATGATGCGCCCGAGATATCATTCGACATTGTCGGTACCACTGGCAACATCTATAAGACCACGATAGGGAAGGTGCCATCTTGCAGCTGCCCAGATGCTCTAAAAGGGAATCAATGCAAACACATCTGCTATGGTACGTTGAGCCCCTTGCGTAGACAGTTACCCCGCACTCTCGTCTCTCTACTTGGTAATTCTGCAATATCCGAGTTGCTGATTCTTCTGGCTGGTGAAGTCCTAGTCAAGGCCCTTAGAGCGCCTCAGCATCTTCAATATCAGTTAGCATTCTTGTCGTCGGTAAGTTAGGTTGATGGTAGCCGCACGAGATTGCAGTGCTCATGGCTATACCTTAGGAACTCCGAGAAATGTACAACGGCTCTCCCATCAGCCGCGAGCAGGCCCACGCTGAAGGAAAAAAGGATGGGAACAGGAAACCTGTTGAAGGCGACTGCCCGATCTGCTTCATGGAGTTCGAACCCGACAAAGAAGAGATAGTATGGTGCCGAGCAGCATGCGGAAACAATATACACAAAACTTGTTTCCAAAAGTGGGCCGCAACCCAGCAAGCCCAAGGAGTGAGATGCGTTTATTGGTATGTTTCATTGCGAGCGTAAGAGCAAGAGCACCGCTGACTCCCCGCGCAGCCGTTCTCCTTGGCAAGCAGATACTGGTAACATGAAGCTTGATGAACTGGTCAAAGGAGCCAGTGTAGATTCCGATGGCTACGTCAATGTAGCCGATCAGCTCGGCCTGTCTGGAATTCGCGGTATGAGACCGAATCTGTGATTCTCACGTTTTTTTGTTTATTGCCTTCACGTAGGGCTGATACTGACAGTTCTGGTATAGATTGTTCAACATATCATCCTTACTGGGTGCACCGGCAATCGTCTCGTTATGGTTCGCGACGTGGTAGAGGTGCGTGGGACTACGCCAACCGATATTAGTAGTGAAGCTTATCCGTCTGGCCTGGATTGTTTTCTGGATCTTTATAAGCGTCGGAAGTCTGAGATTGATACCCAGCGCATGTCATTCAGTTATATTAATACATTGGTATCATTCTTCCAAATGGGCAGTACATTTAGCTCTATCCAACAATAAGGCGAGATTGCACTGAACATAAACTGCGTTGTCTGTGCAGATAAAATTTGAAGTCCTCCCTGCTGCCAGAGGTCCTATCTACTGACCCCAAGTAGTAGTCTTGCTGGATATCACAGCGGCTCTTATCCTGGTAAACTTTCAGCTCCAGATGAGCATCCAAAATCAACGATACTATATACTACGCCCGAGCCAACCTCATCGCTCAGTTCCAATCCAATCTAGATTGGCCACGCAGACACATGGACAAAACCCGTGTCCCTGACTCGAACCCGGCGCGCACCCCCACCTGCATGGGAATAAGAGGTATCCAATCCCTCCAAACCGGGACAAGCACATTAGTACCCCGTAGAAGGCACACCTCAGAGAGCTCTCTACCACGAAATGAATGGTAGCCAAATGCATGCATGCAAGCCTTATATAGCCATGACAAAATTTTGGTTTCCCAAGGAGATTCTTCATCCACTGTCCTTCACGACCCGCCGACCCCGACGAACAACAGCTACACTCACTGCTTCTTCGCCCGTCATCCACGAAGGCATTTTTTCTGCATTGACGATGCCGTTCTCGGCTAGTTTGCGGAATCCGCTGATTATGTCTGCACCGGTGAAGGTGAGGGAGAGGGTTGGTGTTGACGATGTTGATGTGGATGTTGAATTTGGATTTGGGGGATCGAGGAGACGGATATCGAGACGGTCGAGCGGAGCAGAGAATAGAGATGCGGAGGTACCGAAGCGGGATTGTACAGTTAGGGTGCGCTTTTTGGAGACGTGCGGGTCTTCGTGGTCGGTTTTGGATCGTTTGGGTGGTTTAGAGGTGGATGTGTCTGCGTCGTCGGGGTGTTGGTTCTCCTTGTGGTGCGAGGGATGGTTCATGTGCTCTTCTGGGGTGACGGTGTTGGATGGTCGAGGGTCCAGGGGACTTCCTTCGAGGGCGGCGTCGGCGAAGATGCTGAATGCGCCGGTGGATTGGTTGGCACGGCCGGGGCCGCGGAGGGAGAGGAGTGCTTGGAGACTCTTTGCTGTTAGGGAGGTGGGTTTGAGGGTGTAGCGCTGGTGGGGGAGAGAGAGAGCCTTCGGGAGGGCGTCGCGGACGAGACGTTGCAGGCTGCGGGGGTCGGTTGCGATGGCGGTGGGGGTTGCGGATGTGCTGCTGGATTTCGAGGAGCCCGGGGTGGAGGCTATGGAGGTGTATAGGTAGGGACAGCTATCTGGGAAAGCGATGTAGATGACGCGCGAGGCGTCGGTGAGGAGTTCGGCGGCCTGGCGCGGATGTTGGTAGGGGGAGTTGGTGACGAAGATGCGGAGGAAGGTAAGAGGAAGTGAGGTCGAGCGGGAGAGGTAGTAGTGCGCTTTTACTAGCGGGGAGATTTGTTGCTGAAGCTTGCTGAGGAAGGTTGAGGCGTGGACGCGCGGAAGACATGCGGAGAGGTCGGAGGGGTCTGATTGTTGTTGTTGTTGGCTTTCGATGCGGGAGAGCTCCAGTGCGGTCCATCGGAGGCTGGAGGAGTGGTCGTCGATGTAGCGAAGGTCAACCATGGCAAGTTGTCGCAGGGTGATCCCATGTCTCCAGTCGCCTTCGAGGATGCGGTCGATTACTTCGCGTTTGCCGCCTTTGCGCAGTTGCAGTTCCTGGTATGCGTTCCGGACGTCGTTGACGGTGCGCTCCGCAGGATAGGGACTCAGTCCCTCGTCCTCCTCCTCTTTCTCATCTTCATCTTCTTGGAGATATGGTGGGAATGCCTGGAGATTGCGATCTTCGAGCCATTGGAACGCCAGATCCAACAGTGCTTGTCGGGTGAGCTTGCCAAAGGCTTTGACTAGGGACGGCGTGGAGGAGGGGATGCGGAGGTTGCTGGGTAGACTGGCGGTTGTAGGCGCGCGGACAGACTTTAGGCGGGCCATTGGGTGTGAGTGTTGATGGAAGACCTACTAGATAGGTCCGTGTAGCAACAACTCGGCAGATTGGTAGGGCTGAGTGGTTACTTTGCTGAATTTGGGATTGGATAGATTGGATGCGGCGCGAAGCTACGGGATTGCGGGTGGTTCCTGGGGCATCAACAAACAGCATCACGTGGAGATAGAATCACCGGGACTTATCTTAGTGCGGTTGGCAGCGCAGGGGCTCCCGCATTCTAAGTTGATCATCTCCAGTTATTCACTACTCCTCTTTTCATTGATTTGATGTCTGAATAGCGCTATAGATGCCGGAAATAGCGTGATTACAGGGTATGTTGTCTACACGTCGACTATCGTGTGATACATGAACATACCATATCTGCAAGGATGGACAAGAGGAGAGGTTGTGGATAACCTCATACGATAAGTATGCAGATCCCGATTATTAATGAGGAGGTTGTGAGGTTGTGCTCGCGGATAATTTTACCCGTTTCTGTAGTCGGCACTTGGCTAACTGGATTCAGCAGGTACACGAGATGTGGTTTATAAGCAGGGAGATTAACTCCTCGCGAACCGCGCAAAATCCGAAGTAGAACAATAATACTAAACGATACTAAGGTCGCCAAGCCATCAGCCTTGAGCCAACCAGGGCATCCATAGCGGACACCCGGTCAAGCAAGTCTGGTAGACCATAAGCCAGTGCAAGGAATTTGTTCAATCTGACTACACACGAGAGTGGCCAGAGTCATCCCTAAAGTTCAACCGGTTTGGACCCTAAAACCAGGCCGGCGAAGGACGGCGGCAGTGCGATTCTTTGGTTCCGCAAGCCCGACTTCGGCCACCGGAAAGAGGATGACTCGGGTTCGATGTCATCAGCGGAAAAGCAATTACTGTAGTGGTTAGTAGTGATTGTGCGGTGGCAACACGCGGCTCCCGGGTAACCCAGCGCAGGTACTGTGTACCTCAAGGGAGGGAAGGAAAAGTATCCAGATTCTGGGGCCCAGCGGATGGGGAGATTAGATCTAGAAATAATTTGGAAAAGAATACTTGATGGAGTGAATGATTGCAAGATGATGCAAGTAGCGATCGGAGCGAGACAAAAGCGTAGTTAAGTGAATGGGAGGGACGGTTAGTCACCGGGATTATTCAACGGGGCCATTGTGCCGCATTTTCCCCCCGATAACTTAATAATCAGCGGCTTCCCTCCAATTCCCCCGCCCCGCCGCAAATTCCCACTCTTTTTCGTCTCCGGCTGTCCCACACTCCAAACTCGACTTGACCCTCTTTCTCTCCTCGACTCTTCCCACGCCTTTTATCTTCTCCTGTCTCGTCTTCGAATCCCGCTGACACCCCATATCGCCTGCATTGCGACCCCATCGATTGGTCCGCCCACGACGAATACACTGTGCGGGTTACCGTGAACGGTCTTGAATACTTGGTGGTGATCGTACGACCAAGTGTCCCAGTGGAGAGGGACTTCGATATAGAAACTACGAAACCTGACTACATTCCTCAATACTCGCATCGCCGGATTTCAGGGAAAGAGGCCCGTAAAGCCTCAAAATCACATCATGTCCGAATTCAACGGCCGTCGGGCCCCCAACTTCTCTCAATATCTTGATGACCTGAATGCCATTCCTTCGCCGTACGATCAGGCCCTTCAGCAGCAACATCAGGATTCATACAACCTCGAAAATGAACTATCGCTTTTTACCAATGCCGAATTCTTTGATTTCGACAAGTTTGCCAATCTGAATCTGCCCAACTTTGACCAGCTGGAGGACAACACAGTCAAGAAGGAAACCGCGCAAGACACCAGCTCTGACATGGACTTTTTGAATCTTTTGGGAGGTGAGTTGCTGCAGAGTTTTTTTTGAAAACACCACGATATACAATTCTTGGGTCCAAGCTGGGTGGTTACGGGCAACTGTTGGTGTATTGTTGAAGCAGTTGCATACTTCCTGCATGTGCACCGCTTCGCCAGTTGCTTCAACCATCGGCCCTCATCAATGTGCCTTTTCCATACCTTCAGCCCGCCAACCCCCTCTTTCATTTTTTCTTTGTCCAATTTGCTTTGATTGTGCGAATCTCGTACCCTCTCAGGGACTAGTACTAGTGGGAGAAGCTTTACTATATCCCTGAGACACGAGCTGTTCCTTCCGCCGCGCACCTCATCTGCAGGCTCTCCCATTGGCTCGTATGCTGCACGGGGTCCTCTTTGTCTGTGCGCGATCGCAAAACGTGCAGCAGCCTTGCCTTGGCCTGGGATAACGCCAATTGCTCTCGTGATGGCGCCATACCACGTGACCCGTACAGCGTGGGAGATTGCATAGAGGCACCCTTTGTGGCACATTCAAGATGATCTGGGCTCGTGTTGATCCCAGTGATGCTGTGCTTTATACCCCTTCCGCCCAGCTTTGGACCCTTTTCCCTTGGTCGACTTGCTTGCCTCATCAGGGGCTTTCATCCAATCATGAAAGTCATGACTAACGTTCTCTAGAAGGCTTCGGCAACGTCAACGACATCTCCTCTACTATGAACTCAATCAACACCCAACCTTTGCCGGTCCAGAACACACAGTACTCTGCAGTTCCGTCCCTGCCCAACGGTCCCCTCAACATCAACCCTGCTCCTAGCCAAGCGGCTTCTCAGCCCTCCCCGCAGTCCTCGATCACATCCCCGCCGTCTGCGGCTGCCACCCCCGCCCCGGCCCCGGCTACCACCTCCCCGGCGGCAGGACCTAAGCGCAAGAACACACAAAAGACCCCGGCCATGAGCGTAGAGGAGGCCGCGCGCGTTGCCGCCGAAGAAGACAAGCGTCGCCGGAACACCGCCGCGAGCGCCCGCTTCCGTGTGAAGAAGAAGATGCGTGAGCAAGCTCTCGAGAAGACCGTCAAGGAGACCACCGAGAAGAACACTGCGCTGGAGGCTCGCGTCACGGCCCTGGAGCTGGAAAACCAGTGGCTCAAGAACCTGATCACTGAGAAGAACGGACAAACCTCGGAAGAGGCCAAGAAGTCGGAGAGCGACATCGCCGCTATGTTCAAGAAGTTCCTGGCTTCTCAACAGCAGAAGGAGACCGAACGGAGTAGTTCTGAGTCCAAGATCGGCGTGGGCACTGCCTAAACCCGACATTCTTGTGTTGTCTTCTTTTCTTGCTTGTTCATTTGAGCTTTGTAGATGATGTTTACGCAGAGTCGCTGATTCTCCCATCATTTTTTCTATCTCTTCTTATTCTTTTATCCTTTTTTTTTTCTCTTTTATCTAATGGTGTACATGAGGGGATGGCGTCGCGGTGCTCGGAAATACCTAGGCTCGTCGGTGGCATGAGTGATGTTTATGAAGTACAAAAATTCTTCGATCGAAACAGATAAGACCAGGAGAAGCTGTTGTGCATATCACGCAGTCAGTCCCTGTTTTCTTAAAAAAAGCATATGACAATGAAAATGAAACATTGACAATCAAGTTATAAAATAATATCTTTTCCATCTGTACTCTGCTTATTATAGTAGATAATCATCGCCATAATTATATCTACTAACTTGCTTGTCTGGCGTTATCCCGCACCATTACCACAACGGCCAATACTTTTTAAGATGGGGAAGCCATTTACTACTAACTAACGATAAGTAGTCACAACAAAGTTAGCACACTGTCTTCTTTGTCTATTCGTAAAGCTGATTGACAGCCCGGACGGAAAGTTCTCGGCCCAAGCTGGTACTGTATACTTCAGCTATGCAAAGCTAGCAGCGTGTGCCTCGGAACACAAGAGGGTAATGGTAGCATAGCAAATACATTCATGTAAAGTGATATGGAAGAAACAGAAAGCGGGACAAAGGAAATTTGACATCAAGAGAAGATGAAGAAAAAGACAGATAAAAAACAGAGATAAAGATAACATTGATCAATGTGCCATACATGCTTGCAAGCCCTTGGGGATATCAAATAGAAACCGTACCGTGCCGTGCCGTGCCGTCCGTCCGTCCGCCCGCCCAGATAGATAAGTCCAGTCCCGTGTGCACCGTGCCCAGTCCCGCGTTTATCCATCCTACTGATCATGGTTCTTGGTATAGGAGGGGGGTGTACAGATGTGCAAGAGGATTGAAATCAGGAAAGGGAATATGTGGAATGAATATCAAACGCCGTTTTAACGCCTCATAGCAAGATAATAGATAGGTTGTGGGGGTATGTGGAGGGAGGGACTCATCTCCCTCTCTGGGTGAGTTATGAAACGAAACCCTCCGTGTATGTTGGTTGCATTAGTCATTACTTTGAAAAAAAAAAAAAAGAACGCAGAAGCAAAAAGAGCAAGAAAGCAGAACAGGGTTCACTCAATCTGTCATGGAATATCTCATCTTGCGTAACTTCGTTGCAGGTTCAAAGAAGGAAAGAAAATGGAGAATTTTCTTTTCTTCTTGGAAAGATAATCTGGGTGGGAGAGTTGATTCGATACCCGATCAAATCAACCACCCTACTCACCAGAAAACTCTCTCTTCATGTCTGTCACACCCTCAACTTTGATTTCGGGCTCCTCCTCTCTCCCTTCGGCGAGCTTCTCTTCATCGCTCTCTTCACCGTTAATCTCTCCCCATCCTGAACTGCGACGGCTGATTCGCCCCGTCAATGGTTGGTTGCTTGACGGCCCGGACCATGGACTGCTCATACCGGTCCCAGTGATGCTGGCTGCATTGCTGTCGTGGCGACTGTGCGACTGGGCCGCGCTGATGACGCTCGCACCGTCTCCTGCAGTGGCGTTCTTGTGAAAGCTGCCGCGCTCACCGCTCCCTGCGAGAGGCGTGGCCCCGGAGGCCGAGTAGACGCTGGCACGCTCAACACTAGCAAGACCCACCAAGCTAGGTCTGTTGAGGACACCCGGCGGATTCAATGAAGAGGAGGTCGCTGACTCTCCGACATTTCCACTCAGCACACTCAACGGTAAACTCTCTCGGCTGCCACCGAACACGGAGGACGGCGCCAGGGCGCGAACAGAGGCATTTGTGTCCAAAGAGTTTCTGCGGCGCCTTTTTGATGACGATGCGAGAGTCAGAATGGAGGCGTTGTCGGTCAAGATATTGTTGGCTGTCGCAGTACTATAGGTGACCGAGTGACCATGAGGGGCAAGGTGGGGCGGCACGGCCGTGGCTGGCGACGGGGGAAACTGATGAGAAAATTGCACTTGTTGCGTCGCTGAACTGTGTAGAGAACCGGTATGGGTCAGACCATGGTGCTGGTTTTGCGTATTGTAGAGCTGCCCGGAAGGTGCTGCCGATTGCACAGTGGTCAAGGTCGTGGTCAGAGATCGCACCGATGGCGCGGGCGATGAGAAGGTGCTCCCCTCGCCTCCCCCCTGCGAACTGATGCCCCCACCCGCTGTAGCCATCGTCCCTGCCTTGGAATATGCTGCATCGGAGATGGCCGTGTCGCCGTTGGTTGAGATGGTTGGCGCGGTGGACTTCGCACTGGTGGCTGGGACCTGCTGCTCGTACCCGGAGTATGCGAGAGAGGGTTCGCTCTGCGAACAAGACCTGCGATCGGAATCTGCGCTCGCCTCGGAAGTGTTGAAGTCGCTATTATAGTCGGGAACCATGTGGGCGGTGCCCGACAGCGGGTAGGGGTTGTTCTTCGAACTCCGGCTTTTGTATTTGGGCATCGCATGACGCTTGTTGGACCAGCGGTTGGCACTTGAATCGGTAGAATGCTTGAGACTGGCGAGTCGCTTCATCCAGCTAGAAAAGGGGTGGCGACGTCCATTGCGATCTATGCGTTGTACATGAGCAACAACCCAGACAAGAACTTCTGAGATGAGTCGAATTCACTCACCATGCGCCCTGGCGGGCCCTTCAGCCGTGGCCATTCTGGCCTTCCAACAATCCACCGGTGAGATAGCCAGTGATTATGCGATCGCCACACTCACGACACGTTCCCCGTAACGAGTGATGCAAGTCCACAGGGATACAGCGATAGACGGTTGGCCGATCAGATAACAGCCGCAGGGGAAGATGCGTGAACCAAAGAAACGGATCTAAAGGGTCGGAGGGGTAGCGGAGGGAGAGATAAAGATGGGAGGTGTGACGGAGGGGGGAGAAAGCAAATAACTTCGATCCACGAAAAACCGACAAGAATCGTAGCAAGAAAAGACAAAAGAGTCCGGAAGGAAGAAAAAGAAGAGCGAGAGATTGGGAAAAAGGGCGATGGAGGAAGATGGCCGGCCATCCACCCTTTCATTTCCAAGTCAGGAGTTCCTCAGGAGCTGCACGTGATGCCCATCGGCCCAAATAAACGATCGGCGCCTGGATGTCGCCTTTCTCTCCTCTGCGTTTCACTCCCCAACCAATTCATTTTATTGACTGAGTGAATGAGGTTCCTGCCTCACACTTCTCTCTCCTGACGTGTCATCATGTCCGCCCTCTGAATAGTGTTTGTTTGGCAGTGGTTCAGCCTGACGAATCTGTGTCGATCTGTTATTAATACCGCCTCCAGCACTCCGTCTTTCAAGCTTCCGAGGCTGGAACTACTGCAGTGATGCGATAGCGCGTATCTCGCTAGCCCGCTTATTCGGTCCTTTGACATGGATGTTCCCGGCGAATTATGTTAGTCTATCCGTGCCAGTTCATGACTCGCTGCCGCACGCTTTACTTTCTAGTCTGGTGCATGCCATCCCACACTATGCGCTCGTGTCCAGTGCTTTTCCCTCGTGAACCACATCCCATATGTCAGCCTGCTGCGATCTCGATCTGCTTCTTTGTGCTTCATTCTGAACAATAGAGGCTGAGGGGGTGAAGCACTGGCTGCACAACCCATGTCCAGGGGATTCGGTTCGTTGTTCGTTTCCGCCTCGGAACCGGAGATTGTATACAGGAGGATCCAGCCACGATAAGCTCAAGCACCCGCAGTTGGGGATGCCAGATACCACACAGGCCAACGTAGCTCCTTCTCAGGAGGCTGAGCGGGTGCGTGCAATCTGCCTGCCTATTTGGAGATTCTTAAACTGCCACAAGTATGACTGTTGTGACAGTATTCTGTCGAAGTTTACGACTTTCTCGTAGGGAGAGTAGGGAGTAGGCCATCAATACTGCGATTCCATGATTGCTTATCTCCAGGTGTCTTATCATCACGTGATGTGAGACATCATCGGCCGCGGTTTCCCCTGCTGGGCTTCATTTCAACTGGCTCTCCTCGTCAACTGCCAACATGGCGGGAATCTGTGCATTTCTCTCACCATTTTGAGTCAATGACTGCTTTTCTGGATAGTTTATCTGCGTCTTTGACTTTCGATGACCGGTCTATGCTTTCTAGTAAAGCTACAGGTCAGATTTCAAGCGCTATCAACTAACTCGGAGCGCCACCATATCATGGCAACATGAGAGAATCTCTACAAGGCTATAAACTGATCTACCCACCCCCTGGCGATGTCGTCATGGGACCCCAAAATTCGACCTCTACCGCCTGATGTAGTGGCGAAGCTCAAGTCCTCAACTGCCATTACACACTTGAACGGGGTTATTGTAGAGCTAGTCAAGAATGCATTGGATGCAAATGCTCGTACAGTCTATGTGACCGTCGACTTCGTTCGCGGAGGCTGTATAGTTGAAGATGACGGAGATGGGATTCCTCCAGCGGAGTTTGAACCAGACGGAGGATTGGGGAAAGCCCACCGTAAGTTTAATCGTCACATATCAATGTCCTTTACTCATAGAGATGCAGATACTTCAAAATACCATTCGAGTCATGCTATAGAAGGACGTAAAGGGCTGTTTCTCGCCTCACTTGCTGCCCTTTCTCTGCTGACTATCACATCACACCATGTGCGCCATTCGAGTACTAATACCGTAACGTTCCATCACTCGACACCGGTTGCTCGATTGATGCCAGCTCCAGCATATCAAGAGCCAAGGTTCAGTGCCCATGGCACGTCCGTCACAGTAAACGATCTGTTCGGCAATATGCCCGTGCGCGTAAAGAGTCGAGCATTGGCTCTTCAAAGACCAGATGAACTGGAACGACAGTGGGAGGAACTAAGGCACTTTCTGGTGTCATTCATGATCGCGAACGACAGGATAGCTAAGCTAGTGGTCCTCGACGCTCATAGGGATAAGAAGATCACGGTACATCCACAGAGACCTGCCAGACAATATGGCGGGGAACCCGATCTACAACGGCTTCGTTCTATTTTGGCACAGTCGGGGCTGGTTGAGGCTCAGAATACGGGCATCTGGGATACCGTATCGGCCAGCGTTTCCGACTTCACAATACATGCGGCAGTCTCATTGATGCCTAGCCCTACGAAGAAGGTCCAGTTTGTCTCTTTAGGCTCGAACCCGGTGTTCGCGAGAAACAACGCAAATCTGATATTTGCGGAAGTCAATCGCTCATTTGCCTTGTCGGACTTTGGGTCTACAAAAAGCCGTTCCTCTGCAGTTGAAGCATCTGTCCGGGCTGCTGATGGCCAACTTATGCATAG